GCGTGTGTGAGTGTGTATGTGGTCTGTGCATCTGTGTTCATGTGCAGTGTGTGTGAGCATGTGTGTGTACNGTGTGTATGTGGTCTGTGCATCTGTGTTCATGTGCAGTGTGTGTGAGCATGTGTGTGTACATGGGGCTATGCATCTGTGTGCAGTGTGTGTGTGTGTGTGTGTACATGGCCTGTGCATCTGTGTGCATGTGCAGTGTGTGTGTGTGTGTGTACATGGCCTGTGCATCTGTGTGCATGTGCATGTGAACATGTACACGTGGGTATGTGCTGTGTGTGTGATGTATGGTTGTATGGGCCTGTTCTATATGTGTACACAGGTCTGTGTGTCTGTGTATGTGGGCTGTGGGCACACGTGTGTCTATGTGAGCGGACATGGCTCCTTGACACCATGCTAGGACAGGGTTTGTCTTCCTGCTTATCTTTATCAAGAGTGTATCTGTTCTTTTAGCAATAGGGTACTGTTGCCCTTTTGGCCTATAAAACCCATTTCTTCTCCTAATATCTTGATAGGTATGTTGTGTGCTGTTGTATCTGTGCGTGTCTTTGTAGATGTGGAAATTGCTTATTAATTTTCTCTAAGATAAAAGCAGAGGCTTTTCAACAGGGCTGCCAGGCTGGCCTCTGGTGGTGACCAGGAGCTCCAAGCCCCAAGCCCAGCTCCCCTGCCCACAAGCAAGTCACCTGGGGCTGCCTGCTCCAATTTATTGTGCACACGCCTCCTGCTAAATGAAGGGATCTGTTCTTCGAACCTGGAACCTGAGCTGTGGAGCCTCTGCTTTTGTTATCTTCAAGTTCTAAAAGTTCATGATCATAAGACCTTGATGATAACCCAAGATCTGAATTCTAAAGTGTCTTTCATTGTTTATTTTTAGGATGAGGAAGTCCAGACAATTGGCCAGATAGAACTGTGCCTCACTAAGCAAGACCAGAAACTGCAGAACTGCACTGAGCCGGGGCAGGAGCCACCCCCCGAGAAGGAAGTCTGGCTGGCGGGTGGGGGCACCGAGAGCCGGGGTCTGCGGGTCTGTGAAGATGGCCCAGTCTTTTATCCCCCACCTAAAAAGGCCAAGCACTGATGCCCATGTTTGGGAACTTTTCTGTGTTTTAAAAAGCAAGAAAAATTCACAAACTGCAGTTTTCTATAAAACAACCCCAAAGGGAAGTCTCGTGTTTGCTTTTGAACAGCAAGCCTTCGTGTTTGCTCTGCTGTTTTCCTTCTGTGCCTGTGAACTGGGTTTTGTAGTCCACGTAGAGATGGCGTGCATGTGAAGTTCATGGGAGAAAGGAGCTCTCCCGCGCCTGAGTGGCTGCTTTGTGCTTGGGATGATAAAGCTCACAGATCGTTCTTTTCTTCTCCATTACGCCCTGCAGTGCCCTGGTAGATCAGGCAGGCATGCTTGGAGTTTGGGCAGATGGCACCGATTCAGGGGACCCTCTCGCCCAGTGTTCCCCTCGGAGCATGTTGCCTTCTTGGTGTGGGGGCCCTGTCGGGACAAAGAGGGCTGCACATGGCAGGAGCCAGTGCCTCGTGGGCCTGGGGGGTGTCCCTAGTGCAGAGTGTGCCTTTTTCAGGTGGCCAGAGCCCCAGGACATCACTCCCTGGCCAGCTGCTCCCTTGTCGGAGGCCTGCTGTGGTCATAGGCGTGTCCTGGAATGGTGACTTTGCTGCTCCTGCCCGAGGAGATTTGGGTGTATTCACGGAGCAGCCAGCCCCTGTCTCCATCAAGCAGTCTCTTCTGGGTTACTGCAAGGTTAGCTTCTGTCAGGCCTCACTTCTTATCAGAGGGTAGCCAGATCCATGCACTGATAAGTATTTAGAAATGTAAATGGAGTCCCAGTGATATGTGCCAGGCCTACATCGTGTGTTCCAGAACTGGGAGGCGCCCTTTCCTTTTAGACCCATGATGACGTGGCTCTCGCTTCAGGCAGACTGCTGCACCCACGGTCTCGGCCTGCCGTGCAGGGTTTTCGCTCGTGTGCTGAGGCATCGGGGCAGTGCAGGGCGGTGCTTTGCATGCGTTGTTAAGACCGCCTGTTGGCATTGTCTCCGGGTCTCCTGGCCTCTGCTTTCTAAATCCTTTTCTCTGTTTGTCTTAATCACGCTAACATCTTGTTTATTTAATATCCTATTTATGTTTTATTCAACATATATTTAAAATAGAACTTACTGTGTGGCAGGCATTGCATTCAACACGTGGAATATTTAATCCTCAGAATAACCATGTTGTCAACATAATTTGCAAAAAAGAAATTAAAAAAACAGCTGTATCAATGCCTGTGAATGGGTTTACTCACCCTTTTAAAGAAGAGATTTTCAAATTGGCTCAAACCAAAACCTGGCTTCATAGTGTCTACCAGACAAGCTGAAATGCAAAATGTTCAGAGAGAGACAAAGGTTCACCAGGCAGATAGGACAGTGAGAAAGCAGGTGTCGCAGCCCTGATCCCAGACTGAGTGGCCTCTGCCTCCCCCGCCAGCATTAAAGGAGACGCAGGAAGGCCCTCGGCCCCTCAGGAATGAGCTCAGGGAGCACCTGGCCAGGCCTGACAGCTCCTTCAGACAGACAGACTGAGACCATCAGGGATTCGATGGAAGCTGTGCCTTTATTTTGTCTCTTCTGTAGTAGAGGGAGGCGCTCAGCCCTCTTCTGCAGCTGTGGGGAAGGCCAGTGGAGTCCGAGGGTGTAGGGTCCCCACGCTCTCATTGTCCCTCCACCCTTCTCTGAGCTCCTTTCTGTCTCCAGTGTTTTTCTGTCAGCTTGGCAGGGCAGGACTGGTGGTTTGTGTTTGGATGCCTGGGAAAGGGTTGAGGTCTGATTTCCTGCATTTGCTCCGTGTGCTCAGGCAGTGGGTGTAATACAGGGCGTGGGCCCTCAAGCCTCGGTGTCCTTTAAAAGATGGCAATTCTTCGTTTTTTTTTTTTTTTTTTTGGGTCACTTTGCAAACACAGGGCTCAAGGCTAGCGTTTTATCTTCATTATTCCCAGATGAGCTGGTGGATTTGAACAGACTTCCTATTCAAATTGCATTGATTCTATAGCCATGGGGGATCCAGGAAAGCAGCCTCTCAGAGGATGTCTTCGGTCGGCTGCCTTTGTGGTTTTTAAACAAGCCCTTCTTGTTTTTTAAGTAGCATGTGTTTATTATATGAATCTGAGCATTTGAGAGCGGACTGGGTCGCTAACAGGGGCACATCCTGGGGGGAGGAGTGGGCTGTGGAGTAAACATGGACTGCTGAGTGCTGGTTTCCTGCCAATGTCACCTCTGCGAAGTGGAAGAAAGCCCTGGAGAGGGGCTGGCACAGGTAAATGCTTGGATCCCTCAATATTTCTATTTTGACCTAGAGCTCATTAGCATGAGCATTTGATAACCTGCACCAGGTCACGTAATACAAGGCACTCACGAGCCTCAGGAGACAGGAGAAGGGGAAGAGTCAGCACTCAGTGTTCACTGACGGAGATCAGGTCCCAGCATGTGTTTTTACATCATTAAACAAGGAGGTCATGCGCATTTTCCAGATTCAACTCGGGAAGATGCAACTCTGACCACGTGGTTCTCACTGTATCACTTGGCAGAGGTGGTAGAGAAAGGCCTCCCGTGTGAGTGGGGTCTGAGGCTTGTATGTGTGGAAGGAGGAGCAGGCCGGGCTCTGGGATCAGGGTGTACGAGTGTCTCCCACAGGGACAGAGAAGCAGGTACATCTCAGGATGCAGAACAGCCAGGAGGGGCAGCTGGCCTGGGTCTCTGCCAGGACGGGTCTCGGCCAGGACAGGCCTCTGCCGGGAGTGTCTCTGCAGCACCGTGGAAAAGAGGACCCTGGAACGAGTCCACAGGGATGAGAGGAACAGCGAGAAAAGAAAACGAAGTGCCCATGAAACTCCTCCAGATCAGCACCTTAGCGGCGCTGTTGCTGTGCCTGAGAGCATTTCTCTTGCCCAGGAGGGGGCAATGCTTTGTCACTAGAAAGCAATGCCTCCCTCCAAGCTAGCAGTGCAAGATTATTATGTGTTTGAATTACTAACACTAGCAATTGTATCGTATTCAGAACTAGGAATCTAGTTCTAAGTACTAAGTACTTTTTTTTTTTTTGCCCAGGATGGTGTGCAGTGGTGTGATCTCGGCTCACTGCAACCTCTGCCTCCTGGGTTCAAGTGATTCTGTTGCCTCAGCCTCCTGAGTAGATGAGACTACAGGCACATGCCACCACACACGGCTAATTTTTGTATTTTGAGGAGAGACGGCATTCCACTGTGTTGGTCAGGCTGTTCTAGAACTCCTGACCTCAGGTGCTCTGCCCATCTCAGCCTCCCAGAGTACTAGGATCACAGGCGTGAGCCACCATGCCCGGCCTAGGTATCTTAGCTTTCCACTGAAACTTTCTCCTCTATCTCAGCAAATGACATCACCATCCACTTATTCCAGGTAGAAACCTCAAAGTGAACTCCAAATTTTTTTTTTCAGTTTTGCCTAAATTATGAAAGTATTCTTAATTATATTCAGTTTCTCCTTCTCCTTATTGACTTAGTTCAGAGCCTCAGTTTCCTGTTTGGGCCATGACTGACAGCCACCCCACCTGACTCAGTGCTGGATGCTGGCACCCTGTTTGTGCCACTCTCCTGAACCATAGCTCTCTGCTCCCCGATCATGCCTCCAGCCCAGCATGGTGGCTCAGGGATCATCCCTCAACTCCACCCGCCCTGTTGGCAGTGACTCCACCCACTCCCCCATGGCCATGAGGGCTCTGCTGAGCACTTCTTCAGGCCTGAATTCTCCGTACAGTTTGGGTGGCCTGGAGTGCCCTACTCATCTAGTTAAGCAAGTTCCATCGGCTGTCAGCACCAGCTCCGTGGGTGGCCCTTAAGAGTTCTCTGCAGTCTTAGGCGGCTCTGGACCTCCATGCCTGGGGACCAGGGCCTCCACTCTTCCAGCTCTTGTGTTACAATGAAGGTGCCGCTGGATGGCACAGGGGAGGGCTGTACAAGGTCAATGCGGGTGATGTGGCAGAGGCGAGGACGGGACAGCAGAGGCGGTGGGTGTTTGGTGGAGGTGAGGACTGGGCGGGGAAGGTGAGGGATGGGCGGGGAAGGTGAGTGCTGGGCAGTGTGAGTGAGGGCTAGATGGCATGGGTGAGGGCTAGGTGGCATAGATGAGGCCTGAGCAGTGGAAGTGTGAACTGCACATTGTAGGTGTGGGCTGGATGGTGGAAGTGTGGGCTGGCGGGGGAGGTGAGGGCTGGATGGCATAGATGAGGCCTGGGTGGTGTAGGTGAGGGCTGGGCAGCAGAGGTGAGGGCGTGGCAGTGTCAGTGTGGGCTAGATGGCAGGGAAAATGCCTGGATGACCGGGTAGAGGCCTGGTGGGAGAAGTGAGGTCTGGACAGTGGGGTGAGGCCTGGCTGGTGTAGATGAGGCCTGCACAGTGGAGGTGAGGCCTGTACGTCTCCTACCATTAAACCAAGAGCTGTCCGTTGATTCATTCCACACTTTTTCAACACTTTCCATGAGCTGCCTCTCTCCTAGGCACTGGGCCATGACCATGAGGGCTCTCTTTCCTCTGGGAGCTCACTCCGGCGCAGGGCAACAGTAAGGGAAAAGAGCGTAGCTGGAGCATTTGATGGTGGTGGGTTGGAGGGAGGGAGGGAGGAGGTCAGGGTTATGAAGGCGGTCAGGGAAGTCTTCCTTAGAACCTGAAGAAAGGGAGACAGCAGCCGCGGGGAAGGACCTGAGGACCCTAATGGCCGTGTCACACTACAGAGGCCTGGACTTTGCCCAACTTGCTTCTGCTCCACAAGTGCACCCCTGTGTCTCAGGCACATCAGCTCTAAGCCGGCGCTCTCTAGAGACGGAGTGAATAAATGAATAAAATAGAAAAGAGAGGCCAGGCATGGTGGCTCACACCTGTAATCCCAGCACTTTGGGAGGCCAAGGCAGGTGGATTCCAAGCTCAGGAGTTCAAGACCAGCCTGGCCAACACAGTGAAATCCCTGTCTCTACTAAAAATACAAAAATTAGCTGGGCATGGTGGCAGGTGCCTGTAGTTCCAACTGCTTGGGAGGCTGACGCAGGAGAACTGCTTGAACCCGGGAGGCAGAGGCGCAGTGAGCTGAGATCAAACCACTGCACTCTAGCCTAGGCAAAAAAAAAAAAAAAGAGCATGTGACACAGCGATCCGGTCAGAAGGTGCCCGCTGTTGGCTTCTCGCCATGCCCAGATGAAGAAAACACACAAATGGCCTGGTTTTACTTTTTGTTTCTGTGAACTTTTATCAGGAATAAAAATAATTTAATCCAGGTCCTAAGACAACTAAGAATTGTAAAATATTTTCAAAATTCAACTATATTGGCTAGATACATCACTACAGA